CTCCAGTCCCCGAGTTTAGCCCAGAGAGGGTTCATTGTTCATTCATAGAAAGGTTTGTCTATGAATTAATGAAAGAAGTCCTTTTCTATGGGGAGTATGTGTATGTTTCAATAGGGAATTAAGTGAGAGTAAAACTCTCCCTAATTTTCTTTAGGTTGTAAAACTGGTCTTATCTTGTAATAAAACTCAGAGAGGACTCTGTTTCCCCGAGTATAGACCAGAGAGGGCTCCAGTCCCCGAGTTTAGCCCAGAGAGGGTTCATTGTTCATTCATAGAAAGGTTTGCTGACCTCTAAACATCGGCATCGGCTATAGAAAAACCCATATCGGTCGATCTCTAGTCCACACCATGTCCTGGAATCTGCTTGTTCATTCATAGAAAGGTTTGTCTGTGAAATAATGAAAGAAGTTCTTTTCTATGGGCAGTATGTGTCTCTTTCAATAGGGAATTAAGTGAGAGTAAAACTTTCCCTAATTTTCTTTAGGTTGTAAAACTGGTCTTATCTTGTAATGTGTCCTTGCTGCTATGTTAACCAGTGTCCTGTTCTGCCTCATTCACAGACACCCCGGCACCCAGTCCAGTTGTTGGGTGAGGGGTCTGTTGGACCATTTGTTAAATATAACAAAACCTTTACAATTATGTCTGTAGCCAACTTTAAAACAAATTTGATATTGGAATGTGTTTTATTTATTCAGTCTTGAATTAATGGATGTTTAATGAATCTTCATCAGTCTTCGAAGGCTGACTGTTTGTGTTTCAGAGCTGTCCGTCGAGAGATGGGTCTCGCTGATAAATTCAACCCAGAGAGTAAAAAGTGGCAAAATCTAAAATACACAAAAGGTTTGCCTTGAATTAGTCCCAAAACATAATTCATCCAGTGGCTTTATAATAAAATAAAAAAGCTTTCTAAAATTATTGAGTATGACTCATGCACTTTAATCATTGTTAAATGTCTTTTGTGCATGCTGGTACTTAAAGATGTGCCATGAAAATCAAAAGTATATCATATTTATACAATATACCCACACAATTATTACACTTTTATAGTGCTTTTATAGTATAGGTTTGACCTGATGCATGAAGTAATTCAGCCTTCCCTTCTGATTACTTCAGCTGCATCCACTGCGTCCAGCTCCACGGACCAGCTTGAAAGAGGTGACAGCGAGGCTATGCTCTTGCCAACAAAAATACAGTGTAGGAATTCAGTTTTGGAGTTCCTGGAAAAAGAGGAGGCCAAAGAGAGAAGACCAGATCACATGACATTGTAAATGTCATCTCTGTCAGGTGCAGAGGCTGCTGCAGCAAGGTGCTCTCTAATATGTTCTCCACCCTAAGGGTCTTAGTTTTGTAGCAGAGCATCGTTGTTGTCGTCTGGCACAAGTGCTGCCTCAACTGGCTCAACAGTGTCACCAGCGGTGAGGCAGATTTTATGAAGAATTGCACAGCAAGTAATCACAGCAGGGGCTAAATTTGGCTTCACCTTCAGCTCCGCCAACTTGATTTCAAGATCCTAAAAGACCTGATACTTCATGTCTCTGAATGGTGGTGGTTGAATCCAGCTTCTGTTGGACTTGTGACAGGCTCCCTGTATGGAGTTATTAGGGAGACTGGCTGAGATATACCTGGATACCCACCATCCCCAACTCTTGAGTCATGACCTGACCCTGGGTAGCCTTCAAAGATATCTAAAAGCTTGCCTTTATGGTCACAAACTGCTTGGAGCTGACAGTTTGTGGTTGAGGTGGCACTGAGCATCTGTACTAAGTAACTCATTTGGCAGCCATCAATGCTACCTATGGATTAAAAGCTGCCAATCATGCGAGGTGTGCAAATCCTGATTCTTCAAATCCTATCCTGGACGTGATTCAAAATCATGGCGCAGGTGTGCATCATACTCATCTACTAATGCTAAACATGAATGTACGAATTTGACAGACATTTGACATTAAATAATGTTAGAAGAAATGGCCTTACCAAGGTTTAAAAAAGAAAGAAAAAAAGCCCCTATAAATACAAATACTAACCTGTAATGGGAAAGTTAATTTTTGTCATTGATAAGAGTGCAAGTGCACACACATAGAGCCCTGTATCACGTAAAATGCAAATCTTCATGAATACTCACAAATGTACTATATTTGTGATTTACATCTGATTTATCCATGTATAGTTTATGTTGGGAATCAATAGAAAGTAAATGCAGTTACCTTCACATATAAAACACAGAGATCTTTTTTCACCCAGATTTAACACTGCTGGTGTCACGAATATAACGGACATAAGCCAGTGTTTTACTGCCCAGAAAATACAGGCAAATTGAGGAGAAGTTCAAAAACTACTTTAAGGCATTCATGGTACTATTTTCCACATAAAGCTGAACATTGTATGAATTGTAACATTTCAAGTGTGGTGGTCATGATGTTTAAGGATGCAGAGAGAGAAATATCAGGTGTTGGAGAAACCTGATTACACTGAGGTGAGGGAGGAGATGTATGATGAATATCAGTTATGAGTGCTGCACATGATCAGCTGCAATGAGACACAACAGTCATACCCTAGCCTTGCTTCTGGTAGAGAGAAGTTGGTATTGGGCATGTCACATTGCAATGCTGTCATTTTTCCACTGAAGTATTTAGGGGTATAGAAAGAGAGACACAGTGAAGTCCAGCACCTCAGAAATGATTTGGAGTTGAGCAAGAAACAGGCATTTAGTTATCATTCTTGGTGTTCGAGGACCCCCTCCTGTGGTTATTTATGGTACGGCACACATTGCAGGGTTTAATTTGCAACGGACATAAGCCAGTGTTTTACTGCCCAGAAAATACAGGCAAATTGAGAAGTTCAAAAACTACTTTAAGGCATTCATGGTACTATTTTCCACATAAAGCTGAACATTGTATGAATTGTAACATTTCAAGTGTGGTGGTCATGATGTTTAAGGATGCAGAGAGAGAAATATCAGGTGTTGGAGAAACCTGATTACACTGAGGTGAGGGAGGAGATGTATGATGAATATCAGTTATGAGTGCTGCACATGATCAGCTGCAATGAGACACAACAGTCATACCCTAGCCTTGCTTCTGGTAGAGAGAAGTTGGTATTGGGCATGTCACATTGCAATGCTGTCATTTTTCCACTGAAGTATTTAGGGGTATAGAAAGAGAGACACAGTGAAGTCCAGCACCTCAGAAATGATTTGGAGTTGAGCAAGAAACAGGCATTTAGTTATCATTCTTGGTGTTCGAGGACCCCCTCCTGTGGTTATTTATGGTACGGCACACATTGCAGGGTTTAATTTGGATTTGTCTGTGCATGTTTTTTTTACTCTCATAGATTTCGTTACCAGTGCCATGCATTATACGACTGACAGACTGCAACGGCTGGAGTTAAACATCATCAAATGTGTTCTACTGAAGAAACAAAGTCACCTACATCTCAGATGCCCTGCAGGGGGTGAGCAGATAAACATCACATTTTCATTTCTGGGTGAACTGTTTAAGAGTGGCTACTGTAATATCAGCATCAGGTAAGGTTAACATTACTCACCTTCATTTCACTCAATTACATAATGTTTCATAACATATGTACCTTTGCAAAAATTAAACATGGTTTTACTTCATATAAATAAAAAATTAAATAGTTAACCCAAAGGAACCACACATTAATATGGTGTTGCTATACTAGCCATGTAGCTTCACCGTGGTAACCTGTGGTTATACTATGGTAATCAGCGACTGCGACGCCCAGGTGTGCACACTGAGCCTCCTCTGTAATAAACATGCAGATGTTAGTCCGTCTGAACCAGAGCATGTCCGCTCTATGGACGCCCGCTCCGCTCAGTCACTCTAACCGCTCGAGCAAGCGCTCCGCTAATATTCCGCTCGTGCTCACCGTGAACCAGTCCCCGCTCAGATCCCGCTCCGACATAACATTTCTCTAGTAGGCCTCATTGTTTACTGTTTGTAACGAAATTCTTGGATTATTGTCTAAAATTAAGCATGCTGATAAATAGCAATTATCATGTTTCAGAGTACAAATGCACAGGACGCGATTCACAAATAAATGCCAGGCAAAGTTGTGGTTGTGACATAAATATATATTTGTGAATATGTTTTTTATTTGCAAATCTCATTGTATTTATTTGCGAATTTAATTCATGTTTGTGAAACTTTAAGATGTATTTGTGGATCTCATTCTATTTATTTGTGGATCATAATCTATTTATTTGGAATTAAGCAACAATTCTACCCCCATACTCCCCGCTCCGCTCCGCTCACATGCTCTGGCCTGAACACATGTACGGTACTACATCTTTAGAGGAACGCCACGATCGGCTGAAGCACGGAACCGAGCGCACGCGGGGCTTTAACACGTGCATTAGGATTTTGACGCGTGTGGCGTTCCGTACAGCGTGGCGCGTCATCTCTGTACTGCGTCACAGGCTTTAGAATGTCTAGACAAGAAGCGACGCTGGCGGGTTTATTTGTGGATCATAATCTATTTATTTGGAATTAAGCAACAATTCTACCCCCATACTCCCCGCTCCGCTCACATGCTCTGGTCTGAACACATGTACGCTACTACATCTTTAGAGGAACGCCACGATCGGCTGAAGCACGGAACCGAGCGCACGCGGGGCTTTAACACGTGCATTAGGATTTTGACGCGTGTGGCGTTCCGTACAGCGTGGCGCGTCATCTCTGTACTGCGTCACAGGCTTTAGAATGTCTAGACAAGAAGCGTGCGCTGGCGGAGGAGGCGCGAGCCACGGAGCCCGTTTACGATTGGTCAGATTCACAGCGGAAGTGTTTTCTCATTGGACACAGCGGATTTAAAAAAAAGTTTTCACAATCATTTATGGTTTTAATGTTAATCATTTTGATCCGTCTGTCTTTTACATGAAAATGTATTTACTTTCTCTCAGTGTTAGGCACCAGAATGTCGCGAGCTGTGAATGTAGCTCCGCCCACTAGATGTCCGAGTTCCGCTCCTGTGAATGAGCGCTTCCTCTCTGCGCGCGGCGCTTCCGGTCTTTCTTTCCCTCCGGTGCGGTCTCAGTACAGTCGCACATGTCCATCTGCCCCGCAACATCTGGAATGCCGTCTAAGATCCTGCCCGCCGCCGACCGGAGCGCTGTGCCGGAGGAGCTGGAGAGCGGCCCGCCGCTGCTGAAGGTGAGGCGCTCGACACGCGGCTCTGACCGATGCTAGTCACACACACACACACACACCGCGCTGCGCTGGTCGTAATGGAGCTCACTCGGTGCACGTGTTAAGGTTTTGTTTAGCTTTTTCCGACAGAGTTCATGAACTCGCGTGGAGTCGAAATATGTGACGTAAGTTAAGTCTGCGATCACGTGTGATTAGCATGACCACCGCGTGTGTGCGTGCGCGCGCGCGCGTGTGTGAGTGTGTGTGTGTGTGTGTGTGCGTGTGTGAGTGTGGGCATAAAAGAGAAATGTATAATTGTGACCCATACAATGTATTGTTGGCTATTGCTACAAATATCCCCCAGCGACTTAACACTGCTTCTGTGCTGCAGGCTCACAAATAGCATTGGCATTAAAGCACAAACAATTTTTGAACGGTATATATATATACACACACACACACACACACACACTCTCTCTCTCTCTCTCTCTCTCTCACACACACTCTCTCTCTCTCTCTCT